TCTTCAAAGTTCTAAAAGATAAACAATTTCAACCAAGAATAACCTACCCAGCCAAACTAAGCTTCATTAGTGAGGGAGAATTGAAGTCTTTTCCAGATATCCAATCCCTAAGAACCTATGCTGCCACAGGACCAACTCTACAAGGAACACTTAAGAAAGAACAGAACAAGCCAGGCTCAGTGACTCAGCCTGTAATCCCGTGCCTTTGGGAGGCTGAGATGAGTGGACTGCCTGATCCTGCGGGTTCAAGACCTGCCTGGGCAGGCGAGACCTCATCTCTACAATAAATCAAAAAATCAGCCGGGTGTGGTAGCGCGTGCCTGTAATTCCGGCTACTTGGAAGGCTGAGGCAGAAGGATCACCGGAGCCCAGCAGGTCGAGGCTGCGGTGGCCGGGAGCGGCCACTGCACTCCAGTCGGGGCGACTGAGTGAGACTCCAACTCAAAAAAAAAATAAAAAAAGATAGTACTGAACACAGAAGAAAAAGAAAAAAAATAACAACAACAACATTCTTCACAAGAGTACAGGCAAAAGATTAAAAACACACATGAGCCAACTCCAAAACCCAAAGGAAGACAACAAACAAACAGGAACAACTCTGTAAGAACCTTACGACAGGGATGAATTCTTGCGTTTCAATTATTAGCCTAAATGTGAATGGACTAAACGCACCACTGAAAAGACATAGAATGGCAAAATGGATAAAATATCATCAGGCAACAATCTACTGCCTTCAAGAGACTCACCTCACTAGAAAGGATGCCCACAGACTCAAACTAAGAGGATGGGAAACAAACTTTCAGATGAATGGAATACAAAAGAAAGGAGTAGTGATCTTAATTTCAGACAAAATACCCTTCAAGCTATTAAAAATCAAAAAAGATACAGAAGGCCACTACATAATGATAAAAGGCTCAATTCATCAACAAGAAATATCTATCCTAAACATATATGTACCCAACGTAGGTGTACCAACTTTCATAAAGCAATTTCTAGGAAAACTAAAGAAAGATATTGGCTCTAACACCATCATAACTGGAGACTTTAATACCCCACTCACAACCCTAGACAGATCATCAGGACAAAAAATCAGCAAGGAGATCTGGAACCTCAATGTGACTTTGGACCAAATGGACTTAATTGATACCTACAGAACACTCCATCCAAAGACCACAGAATATACATTCTACTCATCACCGCATGGAACGTATTCTAAGATCGACCACATAATTGGCCATAAATCAAGCCTAAGCAAATTTAAAAGAACTGAAATTCTACCATGCACCTTCTCGGACCACAGTGGAATAAAAATAAACATTGACAGTAACAAGGTCCCCCCAAAACCCACAAAGACATGGACACTAAACAGCATGATGCTAAACAACTCCTGGGTCAATGATGAAATCAAAACAGAGATCAAAAGATACCTGGAAACAAATGAAAATGAAGAAACATCTTACCAAAATCTCTGGGACACCTTGAAAGCTGTAGTAAGAGGGGAATTTATATCCCTACAAATACACATGAAGAAAATGAAAGGAACACAAATTAACAACCTAACAAGCCACCTAAAGAAGCTGGAAAAACAAGACCACAAAAACCCTAATTTCAGCAGAAGAATCCAGATCACCAAAATAAAAGCCCAAATCCAAGACATAGAAGACAAAAGATAATACAAAAAAATCAATGAAACAAAAAGCTGGTTCTTAGAAAGGATAAACAAGATGGATGGTCCCCTAGCTAGACTGACCAAGAAAAAGCGAGAAAAAAACCAAATAAACACAATCAGAAACACAAAAGATGAAGTCACATGTGACCCTGAAGAAATACAAAAGATCATTAGAGACTACTACGTACACTTGTATGGAAACAAACTTGAAAATCTTAAGGAAATGGAGGACTTTCTGACATCACACAACCTACCTAGATTGGAACAAGAAAAAATTGAGACCCTAAATAGACCAATAGCAATCAAGAAAATCGACTACGTAATAAGAAAATTTCTTACAAAAAAAAGCCCTGGTCCAGATGGCTTTCCAGCAAAATTCTACAAGATATTTAAGGAGGAGCTGATACCAATGCTACTGAAGGTATTCCAGGCTATTCAAAAAGATAGAACTCTCCCCAAATCATTCTACGAAGCCAACATCACATTGATACCCAAGCTGGGTAAAGATCCAACAAAGATAGAGAACTACAGGCCAATATCTTTGATGAACATTGATGCTACAATTCTCAGCAAGATCCTAGCAAACCAAATTCAGCAATACATCTCAAAAATCATCCATCATGACCAAGTAGGCTTCATTCCTGGGATGCAAGGCTGGTTCAACATTCATAAAACCGTAAATGTAATTAAATACATCAACAGATGTCAAAACAAAGCCACATGATCATATCATTGGATGCAGAAAAAACTTTTGATAAAATCCAGCACCCCTTCTTGATAAAAACCCTTCAACATCTAGGCATATGGGGAACATACCTCAAAATAGTAAAAGCCATCTACGAGAAACCCACAGTCAGCATATTCCTAAATGGACAAAAATTGGAACCATTTCCCCTGAAAACTGGAACAAGACAAGGATGCCCACTCTCACCCCTCCTGTTCAACATAGTACTGGAAGTCCTGGCTTGAGCAATCAGTGAAGAGGAGACCATCAGGGGTATCCAAATAGAAAAAGAGGAAGTCAAGTTATCTCTCTTTGCAGATGATATGATTGTGTACCTTGAAAACCCAAGAGATTCTGTCAAAAACCTCTTTACACTGATAAAGGCCTTTGGCAAAGTCTCAGGATACAAAATAAATGTACAAAGACAATCGCATTTCTCTACACCAATAATAAACAAACAAACCCAAATAAAAAACAGAATTCCATTCACAATAGCCACAAAAAAAAAGAAATACCTTCGCATCTTCCTAACCAGAGACGTGAAA